CAAAATTAATGATTCTTGGAACTCTTGGAATTGCAAAAAAGACTGTGGCTTAGGGAGGAGCATTTGCAGGCACGGCTGGGGCAGACTTCTCAGGCAAAGAAGGTGCAGGCGAAGACGCTGCGGATGTTGAGGCTTCAGACAAACCTGAAGCAGCCTTGTTGAACCCTTCTTCAGTCTTCTGGTTGGCCTCAGAGAGCTTTGTCAGGGCAGCCTCCCAATCAAAGGCAACGTGGTTTGCTTCATCTCCCTGAGGATAGGTTGTTTGGCATCCACACTAGCCCAATACAACCTCTTAAAGCGGCCGCCTATGTTGACTAAGGCTGAGGCCATTTTGGCACTCCATTTGGTTACCACAGATTCAGCCACACCTTCTGGCAAACCATGGTTGCTTAGATGGAACCTCTGAATGGCAATCGAAAGAACCTCTTCGGACAGTCTGGCATCCATAGAGGGCATAGCGTAAAAGAGTCCCAGCACTACCTGACCGGTAAAGAATGCGATTTCAAACCGTTCATAATTGTTTATCCAGTATCGCAAGCCATAAACTCCAGCCTCTCGGTTGATTTCGACGTCCCGGACTGTGCTTTGGACTTTGTCAAACAAAGTCTCGGAATGAGCCTTGATGAAGGAAAAGCCAGCCTGCGCAAGGGTTGCAATGTTGAGGCCCTCACGGGGCCCTTACCCCCCAAAAAACACGGGCCTGCTTCAGGGAAGCAAATTGGTTCCATTCGTAAATCAAGTCATCAATTAGGGTCGGTTGACATTGAAGCTGCTTCAACCGCTTTTCCGGACCCAACACCATATTTCTGCTTGGTGCTCTCGATCGAGTCTGAACCAAATGGCTTCGAACACCCCGAAGCTTGCTTGTCACATGTAGGAAAGAAACAGGAAGTTGAAGATAGGGCGCATATTGTTCACACGGGGCACTGCTCGAAGACTTCCAAGGCTTGTAGCGCCTCCACGCCATTGGAACATGACCTCGGCGCACGCAGCTCATTCGATCGCATGTGGCTCAATGAAAAAAGCTCGAAAGCGCGAAACTACAACAGAAGCGAATGCATCCCCCCAAGCCATGCATGACAAAGCCATGCGTGAGCAAGGCATGTATGAACAAACCATGCGTGAGCAACACATGCATGAGCAAACCATGCGTGAGCAACACATGCATGAACAAACCATGCGTGAGCAAGTATGAATGGTCAAGCCAGAAGCTTTCAACAGGACACCCACAGCTACAGTACAGCTAGGGCGCCCAGTTTTACACAGTCAGCGCGTCCAAATCATCTCGGCCATCTAGCTCGGCTTAGCTGGCACATAGAGAAGACTTGCCACAAATTCACAAGTCATGCCAGTCTGAAACGGGATATCACCAAACTGCAAAATTCGCGCCTCCCACGTACACAGCAGGCGGCACACCTTTGCTCCCAGCCTTGTAAAGTCAGAGCGCACCCTTTGATCAAAAACTAGAACAGAGCTCTGGCCTTGTTCTTTGGCGGAGGTGGAGGGCGAGGAAGGTTTGACGGCCAGCATGGCTTCGCTGCTATCGGTGGGGGCGGCGGTTTCCACTGGGGAGGCGGAGTGGACGGGCGAGGAGGTGGAGTCGGTACTTTTGGCTTCGAAGCAGCTGGCTTGGCCTTCTTTGCAACTTGCTGCTCAGGTGCACCAGGTGCAGATTCACAAGCTGTTCTTTTGTTGTGACCTCATTCGTCTGCTCTGTTGTAAAATTGTCCTGGGGAAGGAAGAACCAAAAGGAGAACAAAGGATCCGCATGTCAGTCCTCAAACGGGATCACAGTCGGCGTTGGCACCGTCATTGGCTCTAGTAGAGTTGGGACCTGCAAAGCACCAGGAACTCAAGCCACATATTTGGTTGGTCGTCTGACTGCCGCGTGCCTCTGTCGGTGTCGGGCTTGGCGGCGGGGTTTCGCCAACAGCTGAAGTGATTGAAGTCGGAGAAGTATCATCCTCCTTCAATCGATGCTACTGTGAGATGGGAGAAGGAGTGTCCTGAAAAATGACCCAGCCTGGCCCTGCATGCTGGGCAACGGCAAGGCAAAGCAACAAGGAGCTCTTGTGCCCAAAAGGAAGCGGAAAGTTGTGTCAATCGGTGTCAATGTCACTGTGCCCAACCCTATACTAGCTAAGAGCTCAGTAGCCCACGCAGGGGATGGCCCGCCGCAGCTTGAGGGGCCCGTTTGCAACCGATCTGTGAAACATGCTGCGGACATGACACGTTGGCGACTGCATGCGTGAGCAAACTATACATGCGTGGGCAACATCGTGGATGCGCAAGGTTTGAGTGAGCAAGGTTCATGAGCGAGCAAGGTTCATGAATGAGCATAATCATGAGTGACCAAGTCATGAGTGCGCAAGCTCCATCGACGCGTCTAAACGAGCGGTCCGACCAAGTCCTAAAGCAACTGCTCTACACAACATCTCAACCACACATCTGCGCCCCACTTGCCCAACAAACCTATCAACCAAAAAAAATTGTTCGCCTTATCTTTTGTTTTTGAAATTTCGCATTTGCAGTCGAAATGGCGCATTTGCAGTGTATACACTATAAACGCGCATTTCCACTTACCGCTTTTTTTAAAGTAGAAACGCATGTCCAGGCATTTCGCGCGCTCGACACGCGCGATCTCCGCAAAGGGTTGCGCGCGAACCGGACAAATCGCACTCTCGTCTGCATTTCGCGCCCTCGACACGCACGATCTCCGCAGAGGGTCGCGCGGGCAGCCGGCAAGTCGCACTCTCGCCTGCATTTCGCGCACTCGACATGCACGATCTCCGCAGAGGGTTGCGCGGGCAGCCGGCAAATCGCACTCTCGCCTGCATTTCGCGCACTCGACACGCACGATCTCCGCAGAGGGTTGCGCGGGCAGCCGGCAAATCGCACTCTCGCCTGCATTTCGCGCACTCGACGCGCACGATCTCCGCAGAGGGTTGCGCGGGCGCCCGGCAAATCGCACTCTCGCCTGCATTTCGCGCACTCGACGCGCGCGATCTCCGCAGAGGGTTGCGCGGGCAGCCGGCAAATCGCACTCTCGCCTGCATTTCGCGCACTCGACGCGCACGATCTCCGCAGAGGGTTGCGCGCGGACCGGACAAATCGCACTCTCGCCTGCATTTCGCGCACTCGACACGCACGATCTCCGCAGAGGGTTGCACTTTCGGTTGACGCTGTTCGTCCCGCCCTCCGCCTTTAAGAGAGAATTTATAAAGTGGGGAAATGTTTTTTGATTAGGGCATCTCCCGTGCTAGTTTTCCATACTCACACTTGCCTACTCATTGCATGCTTGCATGCTCATTGCATGCTTGCGTACCCATCACTTGCATACTTACACTGCGTGCTTGCCGAGTGTTAGTGTGTATGTGTAAGTGTCAGTGTCGAAGTGTCAGTGTATGTAGTGCGAATGTGGTGGAAGTGTCAGTGTGTAAGTGTAAGTGTCGAAGTGTCAGTGTTCAAGGGATTTTCCGGAAGAACCCTTCGCAATGCTTTCGGGAACAATTTGACCTATAGGAGTGTCCCTTCGCGCATGCCCTGCAGACACCCTTTTTTCCCGGCCCGCAACGATGGCGTCATGCAAGCAGCCCCCAACGGCGTAGTCGCTCTGGCACTGTGCGTGCAGTGGCTTCTTCTTTTGCTTTTCATCGGTGGTTCACAGCAACGCACCGAAGTCCAAGAGCAGAGCCGATGCGTCGCCGACTCACCACATCCTTTTTTTACGAAGCCATTCTGCGAGACTTTCTTCCAAAATGTAAGTGGAAGACATGATCCAACCAGACATGATCCAACCAGACATGAAAGTGCCAGTTACATTGCGGGAACGATCCTGTAACTGCAGAACACAATGAAATTCCAGCGACAACTCATCCACCAGCAACACTTGCAGTCACATTCACAATGCGGAAACCATCCAGGAGCTGCAAAACGCAATGGAATTCCATCAACAGCACGCGCGCAAGAAACGTGTGAAAGCTCTAGTTACAATGGAGGGACGATTCGAGCGTGATCCGAGCGTGACGCGAGGACGTTCCGCAACCGTCGTTCGCAGAGCTTGACTTGCCAGGTTTGGAGCCACCCTTTGTATAGAAAAACACAGCATGTCGTGCGTCCGCAATCTCTCGAAAGCGCCTTTTGTACGAGACGTCCTTCCAAAGTGCATGTTGAACACCTGCAAAACGAAGCCATTCTGCGAGACTTCCTTCCAAAATGCATGTTGAAGAGCTGACTGGAACTAAAGCTAGCTAGAGCTAGAGCTGCTGAAAAAAACATTTTGTACGAGATTTCCTTCCACAATGTATGTTGAAGAGCTGACTGGAACTAAAGCTAGCTAGAGCTAGAGCTGCTGAAAAACGCATTTTGTACGAGATTTCCTTCCACAATGCATGTTGAAGAGCTAACTGGAACTAGAGCTAACTAGGTAACTAGAGCTAGAGTTGTTGAAAAAACATTTTGCACGAGACTTCCTTCCAACATGCATGTTGAAGAGCTGACTGGAACTAGAGCTAACTAGACCTAGAGCTTTTGAAAGTCCGTAACACGGAAGTTTTGCACCCTAAACTTCCTTTGATAACTATATCTGTATATATCGAACTTTGATCTTTTCCCCCATTCTCAAGTTGACTTTTGATTCGACTCCACCAACAACACGCTGCATATTTTACATGCTTATTTTCCTCCCGCTGTCCTAGCTTTCGCGTATCCCTCTTCTCAAGTCTGGGAAAACTAGGTGTGTGGAAACAACCGAGCCAAGAAGACTTCTAGCATACCCCTAAGCATGGAGTTCGCGAACTGCAAACGCGTGATATTTTAGCAAAGACAGTTTTTTCCGTAAGAAGGGATTTAGTTTGTTTGTGTCGCAGGTGGGTTTTTTGGGACCCTTCCTTGGCTGTGTTTACGAACCAGCACTGTCCTATTGTTGAGGTATTACATTTGTTTTTGGCAAAACTTTGTGCAAACAACATAGAAGACACAATATTGGCTGAATGTCCAAGGTCGCACAGACATGATTGCAAGCGACGGTTCTGAGGTGCGAATCAAGGATTTGCGGAAGGGGCATGGCTAGCAGTGCGTGGTTTGAGCTACTTGTAGTTTGCGCCAGGTTTGGCTTATGGATTCAGAGGGCTTCTTTGGTCCAGGCAGAGAATCCGATTTTCATGTTTGGCACATCGGAACAAACCATGAGTGTTCAACTTGAAATAGTTTACGTAAATTGCTCAACGAAACCGACAAAGGAGTGGCAGAAAGCTACGACGCCAAAATCTTCACCATTGCCACACTCCTTGGAGGGCACCTTGTGTACCCTCCTTGTATTCCCAGCAGGCCAAGACCATGTTTGCACGTTTTGGTGAGGCATTCGCAGCCATGAAGATCAAGGCAGTTGCCATGCAAGTAGAGAGTTTGTTTGGAAATACTGTGCAACCGAACACTGAATGTGTTTTTTTTGCATTGCTTTGTTTGTTCCGTCATTTCTTTGGGACACCAAGTGAAGCTGCTGTTTGGCAGAGTGGGGAAAAACTTGTTACAACTTATATAAATAAGGTTATTCGGGAGTTACGACAGAGAATCACGTTGAACCATTTATTTTTCGCATCAAGCATCACAAGTTGTGAGTTCTTACGATCTCGCAAAACACACATCATGAATCTTGTTCGAAATGAGGGTCCTGCTATGAGTTGCGAGCCGCCCCAAAAGAAGCAGCGACAAGATGACGGCGCCAAAGGGACCAGCGCCGGTCGCACTTTAGCAGTGCTTGGACTTGGCAATCCTGGGCGCACATATGAACGACACAGCTTGGGTGCCAGAGTGGCTGCCGCCGTAGCTGAAGCTAGTGCAGTGGCTGTCGAATCGACGAACAAGGACATGCTGCGTTTTGAATGCTCGAAGGGAAATGCGAGGGCAACAAATGTGATTACTTGGCCTTTGGTCACAACTTTTGACGATCCATGCAGAGTTCTTTGCGCAACAACTATGAATCCAAAACAAAAACAAACAGCAAACCTTTTGCTGCTCAAATTGTCTTAAACATGGGACCGCGCGACGGCATTTTGGGCACGTGAAGCCTCCAAAGTCCCAAACACCCAAAGTGACAGGACTTGGAAGGAGCTGTTTGGCTCGGTTGTGGAGAACTCAAGAAAGACTGGGCATTGATCTTGCAGCCGCAACGACCCATCAATGAGAATGGACCTCAACTGCACTCTGCGCTCGGGCCACAGCTTGAGTGGAGGTTGAAGCCACGATGGACTGGAGGCTGAGCATGAGGTTCCTTCTTCATCAACTCTCTTCAAACCATCATGATCATCATGATCGGTGGTTGGTGTCGGTTAGTCATTCGAGAGAAAGAGTCCGAAGGAGCAGGGGAGAGAGAGAGAGAGAGAGGGCGAGCACACTGCTGAGGTTGTCAGATCTGAATCTCCAGGACGCGCCTTTTTTGACAATTGTGGATGACTGCTGGTGCCGCGTCGGAAAACTTTGCAACCAGCTCTGACAAGCAGAACCAAAAGATCCGCAACTTCTAGCAACAGTTAAATGACAGCTCAACAGGCTTTTTGAACTCATTGACTCATTGCCCACACCGGGTGGGGTGCGGATTGGCTAAGGTTACCTTTAGGAACAATTCGCTTCAGAGAAAAGGGCTCCAGTGGCGGCCACAAAGGTCTGGAGGGCATTGAGGCCAGCAACGCTATTTGGGCCATTGCTATTAGGTCGGAGGCCATCGCTATTAGGTTGGAGACCATCGCTATTAGAAGCTGCGTGAGAGAACAAGATGTACTCATGATGTCCCATGTTCATCTAAGATGACAGCGCAAAACAAGAAGTGTACAAGGCCGTTTTTACTCGAGAAAAGAGTCCGCATGGTAGCGGAGCCTGAGAAGCTCACCGCGAGGTGAGTGGAGGCTCCAGGGTACCCGGGCCACGCCATAGGCAATCATTGCTAGAGGGATGCAGGAGGAAGAGGTCGCTACACCCCGCTGGACTTCATCTTGCGCCCGTTGGAGGTCCTTGTAGGCACGAAGGTTTGGAGATGGCGACGGGTTCACCGATCTCAGGAACCCAGATGGACAGCCAGGAGATTGCCCTCAGGATGATCCAAGCGGCAGAAGCAGCCTCGGTGGCTGCTCAGAGCGCGGCTGAAGCTCCAGGCCGCAGGTCTGAGGGGGACAAGAACTGGTTCCCTTTTTGGTTTCTCTGGTCAGACAGCGTCCACTTGCCCTAAACATTCCAACGGCATCGAGGCCTATCGATTGCTAATCAAGAGCCTTGAGCCCGCTTCGAAGAACAGGTCATTAGGTCTGTTGACCATGATCTTGGAGTGGAAACCCTTTGACATGAAGAAAGGGGGCATTCTTGGCCAGCTTCTTTGGGTTGAGGGGGCCTTCTTGGAATACGAGAAAGCAGGCGCCAAGCTTGAGGACACCATCAAGTTCGCCTTCCTCATGAAGTGTGTGAGTGGCGAGCTCCAGACTTGGCTTCAACTCAATGTTGCCGAGAGCCAGGACTATGGGCAGCTCAGGGAGGTGGTCATTCAGTATGACACGGCTACATGGAGGTGGAGCAGCGCGATGATGCTTGGTGGAGGTGGACCGCATCAAGGGCAAGGGAGATGGCAAGAGCAAGGGCAAAGGCGCGCGAGGGCAAAGGCAAGGGAGATCAGCGTGGAAAAGGAAAGGGTAAGACCTATGGCAAGGGCTATGATGGTGGTGGCAAGTCGCAATCCATGGGCAACAAGGGTGACCAACAGAAAAGGCAAGTATGAGCAGCTCGTGAAGACATGCTTCACGTGTGGCAATTAAGGCAGGTCACCTGGCTCGAGATTGTTGGCGAGTTCGGCAAGTGAGTGATGAGAGGCGACGCAACCTCTACGGCGACTACAAGCCAAGCTACCACATGGAAGTCTGGCACCATCAAGTGGTTGCGAGAGTTTCACAGGAATTCAATGAGGAGCCGGTCGTCTTTGACTTGAGACTGGAGAGACGTCCTCTTCAGTGAGGGTGGTCCATGCAGTTCTACAACATTGCCGGTGAGGAGGAGATGGCTTCAGGGCTATAGGAGATGGAGCATCAACGTGGTCACGAACCAGTCAAATGGTGCTGAGGTGATGGAGGATGATGAGCCAGTGAACATCATCACGGACTCAGGGGCAGACGCAACGATTCTGCCCAGTGACTACCTTGGAGTTGGAGTAGAAGCTGATGAGGATGAACCTGCTCTTCAGGATCCAAAAAAACCTCAATAGCCATTAGCCATTGAAGGCTATCGGCGTGTTTGCTTCCACTGTCAGGATGAGAATGGCATGCGGGCAAGCGCGCCCAAATTTATGACAAGTGCACAATGACCTATGGAGTCGAGGGAAGCAAGTTGAGGATTTCTTTGAGGCTTCGAACAAAAGCCTGACTGCAGAAGGCTAGGTGAGGGCGATTGCTGTTGGACCTCATGTGGTGAAGACGCTGGAGGCCAAGCTGGCTGGAGACTTGGAGCAGAAGGTGAAGCAACCGCTGGATTGGTGGAGTGCATGTGGACAAGAAGATGCAGAATCCCCAATATGTTGGCGGCGTCCCTGTAAAATATTGATGGGCCGAGGACCACTTTGGTAAGAGTTGATGGGAAGTGGCAACTGCTTGAGATGTGTGAACCTCTCCATGGTCTACAAGATCAGGAGGAGCCTCTTGAGAATGTTGCGGAGAACGCATTGATTTTTCTTGACCATCTTGATGAAGGAAGCCATGGCGACGGAGGACATGGGCTTCGAGGTTGACTCAGAGCTGGGAGGTCAGAGACTCAGCGGAGCGGGAAACCGCTTGGCAGGAAGACAACTTTTGGGGGAAGAACTGTCCCAACCAAAAGATAGTGCCATTCCACTTCAGATGACGAAGGCGCTGCCCAAGGAGGAGGTTTTCTTCCGCTAAAGGGACACAGAAGCTGAAGAAGTGGAGCGCTGCCCTTTCTAAGGAAGGCCAGGCAGAAAGTCTTCAGCAAATCGAAGAGGTGAACCAAGAGCGTCGAGCTGCAGGAGAGACTTTGACAGCGCGTGATGGTGAGCATTCATCGACAGCCCCACAACATGAAGTGCCAAGTGAACCACCGCAAGTACCCTCAGTTCCTGCAGAGCAAATTGGGGATGGGGGCGCAGGCGGAGAAGTGGATGTTCCTACCTCCTGAAGGAAGAGTTCTGACGAAGCTTCCGCCACCTAAAAGTGCTGTCAGGGGAGAGCCTGAGGCCAAATGTGCAAGAGATGGAGATGGCGCCGGAGGTTCAGCATCACACCAACTCACGGTGGAGAGGCGAGTTGAGAAGGTCTGCGTTGAGGAGACCATGTACCATCTGGATGAGGTAGTAGACGTCGAGACCCTGACAATTGAAGACGGAGAAGATGAAGTAGATTCAACCAGGCAATCCATGAGGAACTGTGGAGTGATGAGCCATTATCCAGAACAGCGCCAGAGCCGCTCCCCGAGGTGGAGATGTTGGCGAACGATGTGGAGGAACAGCGGCTCATGAGGATGAGAGCGCTGGAGAATTTGAGGACGGAGGACTTTTAAAATTTGGTTGGACAGGCTCACAACCCGCTTTGTCCATGATTGGCGGGTGAAGCTGTATGTTCCAAAGGAAGGCCCTAGAGATGGTTGAGGAGATCCAGAATGGTAGCGAGGGATTACGCGAACGACAAGAGGGACGATGTCTTCAGTCCAGCCTCAGGACATCGTGAGCTGAGGGTGTTGCCAGCGCTGTTCCTGAACTCGGTGGTCAAAAGGACCACCTGTCATTGGGGCGCTTGACATCGCGGATGCCTTTCTTCAGGTGGAGCAGGAGAGACCTGTCCTGCGCGCAAAGGCATGGTATGAGCATCTGCGCAGCTACCTGGCTGAGGAGTTGAACTTCGAGTTTGACGTGGTGAAACCATGCGTTGGGAAGAGAGGTGATGGGCATGACCTTGTGCGCAGTCTCACGTAGACGACGTGATGTTCACAACAACAAAAGCCAGTTGAGGACTATTTGTCATGAAGCTAAAGGAGAAGTTAGAGGTGGGCATGAGGACTATGGACAGGAGTTCTCTTTCTTGAAGAGGCGGTATGTCTATGTGGAGGATGGGCTGATGATCAAGCCAGGTCAGTATGCATCGAACATCATCAAGACCTACGTTACGAGGGCCACTTCGGACTTGCCAGGAAACAGAAGTTGCCTCAACCCCCACACCCAAGATGCAGACGGCTCCAACCTAGCTTCACCAGAAGACGCTGCCATCTACAGGTCCATCGTTGGTATGGGGATCTACTTGGCGCAGGAGCGCGTGGATGTGGCCTTAGTTGACTTGCAAGTCCACTCCCGCCGAAATCTCACTACTGAAAGCGCAGAAGTTTGTGGGATAT